CCTGCCTCAGCCTCCTGAGCAGCTGGGATTACAGGCACGCGCCACCATGCCCAGCTAATTTTTTGTAGCTTTAGTAGAGACGGGGTTTCACCGTGTTGACCAGGATGGTCTTGATCTCTTGACATCGTGATCCACCCGCCTCGGCCTCCCAAAGTGCTGGGATTACAGGCTTGAGCCACCGCGCCCGGCTTGTTTTTCTTTTTATTTTTTGAGACAGAGACTCACTCTGCCCTCCAAGCTGCAGTGCAGTGGTGTGATCTCAGTTCACTGCAACCTCTGCCTCCTGGGTTCAAGTGATTCTCCTGCCTCAACCTTCAGAGTAGGGATTACAGGCATGTGCCACTACACCCAGCTAACTTCTATATTTTCTAGTAGAGACAGCGTTTCCCTATGTTGGCCAGGCTGATCTTGAACTCTGGGCCTCAAGTGACCTGATTGCCTCGGCCTCCAAAGTGCTGGGATTACAGACAGAGGCACTGTGCCTGGCCGCATTTCCAGGCTGGAATGCAGTGGCATGATCTCGGCTCACTGCAACTTGGGCTCAGGTGATCCTCCCACTCAGCTTCCCCAAAAGCAGCTGGGACTACAGGTGTGATGCCACCATACCTGGCTAAGTTTTGTATTTTTAGAAGAGAGAAGTTTTCACCAGGTTGCCCAGGCTGGTTTCAAACTCCTGGGCTGAAGTGATCTACCTGCCTCAGTCTCTCAAAGCGCTGGGATTACACTCATGAGCCACCATGCCAGACCAATTAATGAATATTTTGACATGGCTGAATACATCAGTCAAACTAAAGAAAGCCTATTTTTTTCATTTAGCTCTATAGCCTCTGTGACTGAAGGAAACATATTTTATTTTCAACCTCACCACTTGATTCAATCTTCACAAATCTATTCCTTTGGAATACCTGTCCTAAAATAATCTCACTACCTCTTTGCTGAAGTCCACATTTTGGGGTTCATCTTCTTTTAGTTGAACAATTTCTGCTGCAGGAGTTTCATGGTCTGGCTTTACTTCATTTTCTCTAATGACAGTGTCCGGTTCCTTAATGTTATCATCCCTCCTTCGAATCTGCTCAAAAGATATGTAGCATTTTTACTTTATTTATTTATTTATTTATTTATTTTTGAGACAGAGTCTTGCTCCGCCACCAGCCAGGCTGGAGTGCAGTGGTGCAACCTTGGCTCACTGCAACCTCCGCCTCCCAGGTTCAAGCCATTCTTCTGCCTCAGCCTCCCAAGTAGGTGGGACTACAGGTGCATGCCACCACGCCCAGCTAATTTTTTTGTATTTTTAGTAGAGACTGGGTTTCAACACATTGGCCAGGATGGTCTCGATCTTTTGACCTTGTGATCCGCCTGCCTCGGCCTCCCAAAGTGTTGGGATTACAGGCGTGAGCCACCATACCCGGCCAACATTTTTAAACTCATACTGTGCATGTATGTATATTTTATAAATAGTGCCTGTTAATTCTGAAAATAGAACAAAGCTGGATCTCCACTCATGAAGAAGTTTTCCTACAAAAACTAACAAAGAACATTTATATATATAGAACTATTCCACTCATTTTTCTCATCTCTTTAAAAATAAACATTCATAAAATTCATTTTATAATTTGTAGAATGTGCCACAATTCAACTGTTGCTTTGTTCAGTCTCCATCAGCAATGCCTGCTCTTTATAAGATGGAAAGAGGGGATGTCCATTAGGACAGGAAAGCATGTTCAGCTGATGCCATTGCAGACAAACTTTAAGATACTATTGCCAGGTGACAAGTGTCTATGAACAGGGACAGACCAGACAGAAGCTACTGAACAGGTTGGCTATCCTGTTGTCTCTAAATTTGTAAAGAAGGGCAAAAAACAAAAACAAAAAGAAACAAAATGGCATCACTTTATAAGCCTGAAGTTGAGACGTGATGGACAGCACACTTGGAGCTTTATTTAGAAGCTCTCTCCTGCTCCAATTTAGGTCATGTTAAATTAGGACACAGAGCAATACACATTTTATTGAGAGGGGAATTGGGGACTATCTTGGTAACCTGCATAGCATTTTACATTTGTTGAAAACCCTTTTATTTTCTTAGTGTCTCTAAGGAATCTGGGCAGCTGTATCATCACCTTACAGTTGAAGACATGAAGTCCACAACTGGTCCACGGGCATCCAAAAAGTACTTTAGCTCTGGTCTCTTGAACTCATCAGGGTTATTTGTATTTTACTTAGCTGTCTTAGCTTATTATCATGAGAATTCAATAATATAAAATAACTATCCATACTACAGACCTTTTAAGACCCATCCATCATGTAACTCTGATTCCAAAATTCAGTGATATTAGATTTACACAAAAGAATAATCAAATGCAATTCATGTACCTGAGAAGTCCTAAATGGATTATCCCTTAAATTTGAAGGGCTTTGTAAGGGTGATGGGTCTGAAGCACCGATAACATTTAATCCTTTTTTCTTTTCCCTCAGGCACGCTTGTTGATGTCTTCTTATTCTTTCCATCTGCTCTTCCACAGTCATCCTAGGTCGAGTACTTTCAGCCAAACAGAGCTGCTCCACTGCACTTCTTGGTCTTTCCTTCAAAGTAAAAACGAACATATCAATACGTAAATGAAAACTTTTGAAAAGTATGATGGAATAAAAAATGTTGTAAAGTGCATTTGTTTGTTTTCAAAATCACAAGAAGAGGCTTTGAATGTCATTTAGATATCACCAGAAAGGCACATGAAATTGTTATTTTATCTTTAACTGGTAATTGGTGATGTATGGTCAATAACAGAAAGAGAGAGAAGATATATAAGGGAGGAGAGAAAAAAAGAGAAACAAAAACTTTTTTTTTTGGCATTAAAAAAAATATATATATGGGCCAGGAATGGTGGGTTACACCTGTAATCCCAGCACTTTGGGAGGCTGAGGTGGGTGGATTGCTTGAGCCCAGGAATTCGAGACCAGCCTGGGCAACATGGTGAAAATCCATCTCTACCAAAAATACAAAAATTAGCAAGGCAGGTGTGGTGGCGTATGCTTATAGTCCCAGCTACTTGGGAGGCTAAGGTAGGAGGATGGTTTGAGCCCAGGAGGTGGAGGTTGCAGTGAGCTGAGATTGTGCCATTGCACTCCAGCATGGGCGACAGAGCCAGACCCTGTCTCAAATCAACCAACCAACCAACCCACCCCCATAATTCAGTTCCAGTAAATCTGGGTAAAACAAAAAACAACCACCACCACCACCGTAAAAAGGTAGGGCAAACTGGGCACAGTGGCTCATGCCTGTAATCCCAGCACTTTGGGAGGCTGAGGCAGGTGGATTACTTGAGGCCAGGAGTTCAAGCCCAGCCTGGCCAACATGGCAAAACCCTATCTCTACAAAAATGCAAAAAAATTAGCCAGGCGTGGTGACTCATGGTTGTAGTTCCAGCTACTCGGGATGCTGAGGTGGGAGGATCGTTTGAACCTGGGAGGAGGCAGAGGTTGCAGTGAGCTAAGATCGTGCCAGCCTGGGCAATGAGTGAGAGTCTCTCTCAAAAAAAAAAAAAAAAAAAAAAAAAAAAAAAAAAGAATATGGCAGCTCTGGAGCAAGTCAGTCCTATGACCCTGAGAAAACTGCATAAGATTCAAACGAGGAGAAAAGCAGGGACATGGTGTCTAAATATAGATTTCTTTCATATTGATGAAATGTAATGTTTTAAGTCATACCTTTACTGTGAAAAGACTAATAAAGCAAACACCCTTAGATATTTTCTCATTAGTAATAAAACTATGAAAATACTGATTTTCTATAAATGAGTCATATTTGAAAATGCTTAATAAAGGATACATACACATACATATATACACAGTTGATCTTTGAACAACACGGGATTGAGCTGCAGAAGTCCATTTATATGAGGATTTCTTTCTTTCTTTTTTTGAGACAAAATCTCACTCAGTCACCCAGGCTGGAATGCAATGGTGTGATCTCGGCTCACTGCAACCTCCACCTCCCCAGGTTCAAGTGATTCTCCTGCCACAGCCTCCTGAGTAGTTGGGATTACAGGTGCCTGCTACCACACCCAGCTAATTTTTTTGTATTTTTAGTAGAGATGGTTTCACCAGGTTAGCCAGGCTGGTCTTGAACTCCTGACCTCACATGACCCACCCGCCTTGGCCTCCCAAAGTGCTGGGATTACAGGAGTGAGGCAGAGGATTTTTTTCATAAAATACACCCAATGTGCCTGCCTCTCCTTCTACTTCTACCTCTTTTGCCTCTGCCACTCCTGAGACAGTAAGAACAACTCCCTCTTCTTCCATCTAGTCAATGTGAAGATGATGAGAATGAAGAGCTTTATGATGATCTGTTTCCACTTAATAAATGGTAAAATATATTTTCCTTTTCTTATTTTAATTTTAATTGTATGTATGTATGTACGTATTTTTGAGACAGGCTGTTGCTCTGTCGCCCAGGCTGGGGTGCAGTGGGGTAATCACGGCTCACCTAGACCTCCTGGGCTTAAGTGATCTACCCACTCTTGGTCTCTTGAATAGGTGAGACCATAGGCACAGGCCACCATGCCTGGCTAATTTATTTTGGTAATTTTTGTAGAGATGGGGTCTCCTTATGTTGTTTAGGCTAGTCTTGAATTCCTGGGCTAAAGTAATCCTCCAGACCTGGCCTCCCAAAAGTGATGGAATTATAAGCAGGAGCTACTGTGCCTGGCCTAAACCTGCTAGTATCTTTCTGCTTGATTTTATATTTGTGTTTGTTTGTTTTGAGACAGAGTGTCACTCTGTTGCCCAAGGCTGGAATGCAGTGGTGCAATCTGGACTCAATGCAACCTCTGCCTCCTGGGTTCAAGTGATTGTTATGCCTCAGCCTCCTGAGTAGCTGAGACTACAGGCGCCTGCCACCACGCCTAGCTTATTTTTGGGTTTTTAGTAGAGATGGGGTTACACCATGTTGGTCAGGCTGGTCTCAAACTCCTGACCTCAAATGATCTGCCTGCCTTGGCCTTTCAAAGTGCTGGGATTACAAGTGTGAACTACAGCGCCTGGCCTCTGCTTGATTTTAACATGTACTTTTTACAGTCCTTTTTCTGTTGAATTGTTATTTTAGCTTTACTATTTTCAATGAAATCTTCCAATCTCTAAAAAAATGCCTAACTCTTTGAACAAACAATAGTATCACAGAATCATGACCACTAATGTTAATAATGATATATTATCTTGATTCCATCATTTCCATAGATCTTTATAATTTTATACTAATTAAAAACATTACATTATATTTCTTTTCTTTTTCTTTTCAGAGGGACTCACTGTCACCCAGGCTGGAGTACAGTGGCGTGATCTCGGCTCACTGCAACCTCTGCCTCCCAGGTTAAAGCAATTCTCCTGCCTCAGCCTCCCTAGTAGCTAGGACTACAGGCTTGTGCCACCACGCCCGGCTAATTTTTTTTTTTGTACTTTGAAGTAGAGATAGGGTTTCACCACGTTGGCCAGGCTGGTCTTGAACTTCTGACCTCAAGTGATCTGCCTGCCTTGGCCTCTCAAAGTGCTGGGATTACAGGTGTGAGCCACCATGCCCGGCACATTTCTTATACATAAATGCATCTGAGTTTTTTGGCATGTATTTTTGTAGCTGTACTTTGAATATTGTTAAAGAATATCTAGCCTGGGCAACACAGTGAGAACTCATCACTTACTAATAAAAAGAAAAAAAAATTAGCAGAGTATGGAGGCACATACTTATCGTCCCAGCTAGCCAGGAGGCTGGGGTGAGAGGATACTTTGAGTCCAGGAGTTGGGGGCTGCAGTGAGCTATGATCATATCATGGCACTTCAGCCCGGGTAACAGAGTGAAACCCTATCCATTTAACAACAACAACAAAAAGGTCGGCATAGTGGCTCACACCTGTCATCCCAGCACTTTGGGAGGCCAAGGCGGGCAGATCACGAGGTCACGAGATCAAGACCATCCTGGCTAACATGGTGGAACCCATCTCTACTAAAAACACAAAAAAATTAGCCAGGCATGCTGGCATGCCATATATGTTTTTTTTGTTTTTGTTTTTTTGAGATGGAGTCTTATTCTGTGGCCAGGCTGGAGTGTAGTGGCCCGATCACGGCTCACTGCAACCTCCGCCTCCTGGGTTTAAGCGATTCTCCTGCCTTAGCCTCCCCAGTAGCTGGGATTACAGGTGCCCGGCCACCTCACCTGGCTAATTTTTTTTGTATTTTTAGTAGAGACGGGGTTTCACCATGTTGGCTGGGATAGTCTCGATCTCTTGACCTCATGATCCACACGGCTTGGCCTCCCAAAGTGCTGGGATTACAGGTGTGAGCCACCGCACCCGGCCTGCCATATATCTTATATGTATTACCTTTCAGTCATGTCTTATAGCTTAAAATTATCTCATATCAAATAGGTAGAGTATTTAAAATGACAAAAAGTAGAAGTATTTTTGCAGCCCACATTTCTAGAGAATACTTGGGAACAGGGAGTTAAGTAAACTCAGCATTTTCCAAAGAACAAAACTAGACTGGTTTAGAGTTTGAATTAAATTAATCTCAGATGAAAATGTGAAATATAGGATTTATTTTCCAGTTCCAATTCACATTTCTCAGAGTAACCAGAGGACTGGCAAATTCTAAAACTATTAAAGCTGTAGCTCAAAGGCCCTGCAACCTCATGAAAGCTAGAAAATCCATTAACTTGTGGGTGGCCATAGGACACGTCTATACCTCTCAAGGAAATTCTTAAAGGCATCAAGGAGTGTAGTACAGCGATTAGAGAATAGATTCCACAAATCGCGGACTACGACTATGACCCCATGTCTAGGCTGATCAAAAGGAAACTTAAATTAGGTATTAATTAGGTCTGTCCTCTGATGTGCTAATTCTTCAAACAAAATTTTAAGAATAACTAAGATTATTATGTTTATCCTTGAGTATGCAAAGAGAATTTTGATTAAGACACTGAAAACTAAAACATGTAAGAAGGCGATAAATAGGTCTGAGAATCTAGAAGTAAATTTCCAGTTAAATACCGTTCTTAGATCCATCATCTTCTTAGTTTTCCTCAGGGTTACATATGAAGCTATTGTCGAAGATTCGGGTGTTGGTGATTTTGTTCTTGGAGGGACTACTCCAACAGGAAAATGGGAACCTAAAAATTAAAACAGCAGTAAGCTCTACAAAACATCTTTTATACAGGGTTGCTTTCTTTTGACTTAATTAATTTCTGACCCTTTTAAAATCAGAAAGCAAATTTACCTAGAGTCAAGGCTGGGCATGGTGGCTCATGCCTGTAATCCCAGCACTTTGGGAGGCTGAGGCAGGTAGATAACCTGAGGTCAGGCGTTCAAGACCAGCCTGGCCAACATGGTGAAACCCGTCTCTATTAAAAAAAATTAGAAAAATTAGTCAGGCATGGTGGCAGGTGCATGTAATCCCAGCTACTCAGGAGGCTGAGGCAGGAGAATCACTTGAACCCAGGAGACGGAGGTTGCAGTGAGCCAAGATTGCCCCACTGCACTCCAGCCTGGGTGACAGAAAGAGATTCTATCTCAAAATAAAATAAAATAAAATAAGATAAAATAAAATAAAATAAAACAGAGAATCAGTCAATAATACCACCAGATAAATGTAGGGTTACATTTTAAAATAAAACTCTGTTCAGGTATGGTGACTCATGCCTGTAATCCTAGCACTTTGGGAGGCTGAGGTGGGAGGATCACTTGAGCCTAGGATTTTGAGACCAGCCTGAGTAATACAGTGAGACTTGTCTCTACAAAAATTGAAAGAAAAAAAAAATTAGCTGGGCATGGTTGGTTCATGCCTATAATCCCAGCACTTTGGGAGGCCGAGGAGGGCGGATCACAAAGTCAGGAGATCAGACCATCCAGGCCAACATGGTGAAATCCTGTCTCTACTAAAAATAGAAAAAAAATTAGCTGGGTGTGGTGGCATGCACCCGTAATCCCAGCTATTCAATAGGCGAGGTTGGAGAATGGCTTGAATCTGGGAGGCGAAGGCTGCAGTAAGCCAAGATCACGCTACTGCACTCCAGCCTGGGTGACAGAGTGAGGCTCCATCTCACAAAAACAAAAAAAGAGAAGAAAAAAATTCTACAGATTAGCCTATAACATTTTTAAGAACATTAATTATAAAAAGCCCTCTTTTGACCAGGCGCTGTGGCTCATTGCCTATAATTCCAGGGCTCTGGGAAGCCAAGATGGGAGGATGAGTTTGAGACCAGCCTGCTCAACATAGTGAGACCCCATCACTGTTTTTTACAAAAAGCCCTCCTTTGTCACACTGATACATCTCTATCATTATCCTAACAAGTTGGTTCAACCTAAATGTCCTTAATTTCTGCTTGGTTTTTAAAAATCATATAGTATTGCCTCAAAAAAGTAGTCACTAACAACATTAAAACAGCTAACTATACTATAGGTATTTGTTTTCACTTTCGCTTCTGTATTTTTCCTTTTCTTTTCTTTTGAAATGGAGTCTTGCTCTGTTTCTCAGGCTGGAGTACAATGGCACGAACTCAGCTCCCTGCAACCTCCGCCTCCTGGGCTCAAGCAATCCTCCCACCTCAGCCTCCTAAGTAGCTGGGGCTAAAGGCATGGGCCACCATGCCCGGCTAATCTTGCCACGTTGCCCAGGCTGGTCTTAAACTCCTGGGCTCAAGCAATCCTCCCACTGTGGCTTCCAAAAGTGCGAGGATTACAGGCGTGTGCCACTATGCCTGGCCAACCCTTTTTTTTTTTTTCCCTCTGAGACGGAGTTTTGCTCTTGTTACCCAGGCTGGAGTGCAATGGCGTGATCTCGGCTCACTGCAACCTCTGCCTCCTGGGTTCAGGCAATTCTCCTGCCTCAGCCTCCT